AAATATCGAAGCGCGTAGCGCCGTGTTTCCGTCTGACGGATAAACATTGATACGGAACCCATAGAAATGTTCACAAAATTTATACTTATTGTTAAAATCTCTTAAAATATCTGATAATTTGATGTGCATATATCTAATGATCATTTTTGACCGCCAAATGGCATTTTTTTTCTTCTTTTTTCACTAGATCTCCAAAACCGCTAGACCTGCCATGAAAATTTGACCAGTTCTTCATCTTGTTAATACAAGTAAAATGTTCTTTGAATTATTCAAATCGGACGCTCCGTTCTCTTAAAAACTGAGTTACCGTTTTTGACACTTTTTGCCCCAATATCTTCGGAACGGCTAGACCTGCCTTCGCCAAAAACTAATCAGCACGTCTCCTTATCAATACGAAACGAACGTTTTTTGAGTTATTCAAATCGTTTCATCCGTGTTCCCGAAAACGTCGACAAAAATTTGTATCCGACACACACACACATACATCCATTTTTTCTAAGGTATGCCAAAATGTTCAGAAACCTCCGAAACGTAAAGATATATAAAAAATTTCATTTTCGATTTTTTTGCGATTACTATAACTTACCCCACGGGAAGTTAATAAATAATTACAAACAATCAATTTTTACAACAATTTCAATTCTCAATTCAAATATTTGTGAAAAATTATATAAGATAAAAATATTTACTAGAATATGCTATTGCCAGGATAATTACTAATTTAAATTAAATTTTTAAGTGCAATTTATTTATAAACTCAGATATGTAAACTAAATAAGTTGATTTTCAAATTATGTATATATGTATAATTAGGGCTTTCAAAACCGTATTGAAATCTGAATACCGGTATTCGATATTTGAAATTTGTAATATTATTTGTATTAATACCGGTATTATCAATGAAAATTTTACTAGTCATATTTTTCGTTACTGCAGTTGTTTTATTGGCATATTAACATTATTATTGTTTTAAAATGAGTACATATTAATTGTTTTATCACATAGATAATAAGAGTAGATAGATACAAGAAAAAACTTGCAAGTAAACAATTATATATTAACTTCTATGTTACACTTTACTTATAATAGGCTCGTATAGAATTATATATTTAATAACTTATATTTTGTTTATAATTTTCAGAAAACATATTTTAATAAACAATCAATTGCTTAATTTTCAAGCGAGGGCCGAATTTTAGTACAAATATAATACGCCGAAAAAGCCTTTCCTCATGCTACACTTGTGGGCACAATTGTCATAAAGAAATAATACGAGTACATGGTTAGTCGATATGAATTAGTATAGTGTATTTAGTTTATAAACAAATCATAAATAGACATCAACACTTCACAAAGGCTTATAGAAAATTATTGTATTAACTGATTGCCGAATAAATAAATAAAATTCTATATGAACGATTTCTAAGAATCTGCAACGAGACCAATATTATCATTAATTATCAAACTGTTTATCACACAATGATTTGACTTGTAAATGTTTATAAGTTATAAAAAATAATTAATACTATAATACGAATAATTGAAAGGAAGATATACAATATAGAGTACTATAACGTGTCGATTGTATATTTTGTTTAAAATATCATTGATAACGAATTGGATATGAGGACAATGCACGTGGACGACTAATACTTTGTATTATACCCATAATACAAAGCCATAATACAAAGCCAAGTAATACCCATTTATATGGGTTCCATGCATTAGATCGTATATAATATATAAACAATCGCTTTATCTTGTCGGCATCGACAAGATGTGTCATACTGGACTGAGCCGAGTCGGCAATACACAAATAAAGAGTAATGGACCGATTCTGCGCATAACAGAGAAATGTTACGGCATGGGTATGTTACGCTCCGACCTCAATACATTATGCGAATGAATCATACTGAATGCTGTCAAAATATCATGTATTTGCTGTTCATTCCGGCGTTTTAAGCATAAACTGCAACGTCACTCGTATGTTACCTAAGAGAAATCAGAAACACACACTTATCTAACATCGTTTTTTGACATTTGTGCGGCTTTTAGGTTATGTTTTGTATGAGAAACCTGAGAAATTCGCCTGACTGAACACCAACCGCATACCTTATAACTTTTGTCTATATTACTATGGAAAATTCTTCATAACATGACCTTATCATAACATTGCGGCAAGAATCGGTCCCTAAACTCGTGTATGTGTATTGTGGAAGTTAAATTTTTAACAAAATTTTCGTAATCCCGAAATACCGGTATTTTTAGTATCAATACCGGTATTGAATACCGGACAAAAATCGTCCGGGATCCCGATATTCGGGATCACGGAATCCCGGTATTGTATGCCCTATGTATAATAAATTTAATCTATATTTACTCATAAAGCTGTTTAATTTAGGTTCATTAATATACAAAGCTTCGTTAAGGTAAATTTTACTTTGGAGACGAATTTTTGGGGTTGCCTGATTACATCATGTAATTAATCAGGTGATCATCATCAAGGTACGAAATTATAAGATTTTGTATATATATATATATATATATATATATCTTATATATATATAAAATTCTTCTGTAATGGGGTATGAATAGTTAATCTTCCTAAACTATTCGGAATTTCATAAATCTTCCTGAAGTTTGATAAGGGAATTTTCTAAGATTTTTTGATTCATAGAAATATAGTTAGATTGTAAAAATAAATTGAAAAATTACAAAAAATCATTGTTTGACCTTGAAAATATTTAAGGCATAGTTTGACATTAAAAACAAATAAAGACTGTCATATGCCAAACAATTTCATTCACTATTAAAATATAATAAATTCATGATTATAAATAAGGAAAATGTAATGTCCACATTATTATTGCCGAAAAGCAGCTGAGATGTGCCAAAAATTAAAATAATATAAAATGCATTATATATTTAAAAAAAGAAACTTTTGAATTGTAGACATGAATACAGGACAATGTTTGTCGGGTCATCTAGTATATATATTAGAATATTTAGTATTAATTTTTTTTTGCATTTATTTTTAGCGATAACGTTTCAGTTACAAATTCAAGTTAAATATTTGCAATAATTAGTAACGTTGTTAAATCTGCGAAATACAAGTAAGTAAATATATTTTTTTAGTATAAATAATTTTATTCTATGCCATGAAACTTTTCTTCATGGAGTAAACTGAAATTATTATTTTTTCTTTATTCTAACTTTTTTTCTCTATCATGTAACAATAGTTTATAAAATTTTACTGTACCTTGCTTGCTATTATTAAATAATAAGAAATGAATAAAATTAAATCAAATTAAAGTTCTGAAATAAATTTAATATTGAAAATGATATGCAAATACATATACCAATATATACGTATTTTAATTTTAATTTTAATTTAATTTTCTGAGTAAACAAAACCTCGCTAAGCAACGATTATATAGATTATTCTTAAAAAAAATAAAGTTGTAAAAAATAAATTAATTAATTTTATTGTAAGAATTATTTTTTAATAAATCAATCAATCAAATAAGTATGCATTAAATTTTGTTCAGTATTTGAAGTATATCTTGGAATCGAATTGATAAAAAAATCCTAGATCTCTAACATACTCTTGTTAAAAATATTCATTTATTTATATTTCTATTATATATATATATAATATATATATATATATATATATATATATATATATTACCTACAAATAACTCCTTAATATAAGGTAATAAAATTTTAGTATCAGTTTCGGGCGCCCTTCAAAGGATTTTCTTCCAAAATATGATATTATATAGAAAATAAGGGTTCATATTAATGATCCAGCTATTTATAAGGGTTCATATAATGATAATGACAATAATATTAATAAATAAAATTTGGGAAAGGG